TACAAGAAAAAGTTTGTTGGGATTAAAATTTGAAAAATCGAGTATAACTTAAGAACAGAATTCAATACATGGGAGATTCAAAACTAATTCAATAATCGGGATACACACCTTGTTTTTGTGGTTAACCACTAACACTACACAATTTACTACGATTTAATAGTTTTTTTTTGGCAACGTACGATTTAATAGGTTGCCAAAAAAAAGAAAAGTATATAATACAAAATAATAAATGTGAACGTTCTAAAAATTTCATTTCTTGAGTACATAGGTGATGATGCCGGGAATATGAATGTTCGTGATGTAAATGTCCCAATCAATAGACTTGGGATCAAACTCGAACAAACTATCCTTTCTTTTCAACCGCAATCTCTCAGTATTCATATCATCGAATCTGCAAAAAGAATATAACGTAAAATAGAATGAAAAGTTGAATGGAATAATGAAAATTAGAATAGAAGTTAAAAAGAATTTATTGAAACTTTAGATGGTTACATACACTCCCTTGAACAAGACATAAGGTCTATAGAGCTCAACCAGCCGCATCGCCAGCTTAATTTTGCGATCAAGGTCCTTATAGTTATTCCCATTCCGCCATGGATAAATTATATTCATCAATCGCAACATCTGATAATAGGAAAAAGATATACATAAACGATTGTTATAAACAATTCAATAAATTTCATTTTCCTCTTCACTATTCGGTTTAGGACTAAATGATCTTTCTCAACATCACATGATACCAAGTTCTCCTCTTTCGAAATTTGTTGTTAGTATTAATATTTAAGGGGGAAAAATAGATGTATACCTGCAAAGGTAGCTTGTAGCGAATGGTCATGTAAAAGCTGAACTGGGCCATGGTGGTTAAGATGGTACCTTTGGAGACTATAATGGGTGAGTCATCACGTCCAACAAGTGGGCTTTTGGTGAAGTAGCGAGCGGCGAGGTCGTGAAGCTGTCCGAAAGTGATTGGGTTCTTACAAGACGAGCCGACATGGTACACCGTCTGAGAGCCTGACTTACCGGCATGTATTGCCGCAGCCGTGACCATTGCATTTGCGACCATGTCCACAGGTATCTGTAAACGTAGATTTCAGTGCACCATAACAAAATACGCGCATAATCATAGTCTCACAAATATAACTTTTGCATTT